AAAATTGTATATAATTGAAAGGAGAAAGAAAGTTTAATAAAAGATAATAGATTTCCCGTATATAAAATCCGCAAAAGTTGGTCAATTTCGATTAAAAAGTTTTGTTCAACTTACTATTATTACGAAAAATATAATTTCATCTCGCGAAAGTGGAAAAGTTACTAAAATATATAATATAGTTTGGAAACATTGAAGTTGATATGACCCCTTTATATATAAAATGCAACTTTTTTCAAGTCTCGACACAGTAAATTGAAACTACTTTGACTGTTATAACAATTATTATTGTATGTGCAAAAGTTTACTTTAACATTATTCACAATAGGAAAAGAAAACTTGCGAATGACATCCAATGAGTCAGTATTTATACACACCACCAAATAGGAAAGAAAAAAAAGAAAATAACTACGACCTTTATTTAAAACACGAATTTAAAATTGATAATTGAAAATAAATTTTCAAATAATTTAAAAATTATACTTTAAAAATTACAATGTTTATACAATTGTAAGATACAAAAATTATTTAATATTTTTAAACATTGTTTCTACTTTACTCAAATATTTTCTTTCAAATTTATATTCAAATGTGAAGAAAATTTTTTATAAATATTGCGTGGGAAATATAAGGAGAAAAAAATATGAAATATTATTCGAAACGGAGAGACAACGTGGCAATGTAACGTACAAAGAGAAAAAAAATAAGGCAGAGAAAAGCAAGTTTCAATATTAGAGAAAAATTGGGAAAAGAATTTATTAGATTTTGTCGCACAAAATGTGAAAAGATAATCTCAATTTATTGCACGTTCCAATTTATTTTTATAGGGGAATTAAATGCCCACTCTATGGATTCACATTGAGAATAATTAATGCAATTATTGGAGTTTTCAGTAGAAACATATTTATGAAGAAATTTTCACTTTTTACAAAAAATAAATTGAAACTAAAATTAAAATTTTTTATTTAAATTAAAGAAAACTTTTGGTTCGCTTTGTTTCGTTTCAATGCACTTTAGTTTGTTTTCATTAATTCGAATTCATTTTAATTTAATTTCCATTGGCTAATAAAATTTTAGATCATTTTAATCCAATTTGGTTGTTTTAGTTCATTTTAGTTTATGTAAATTCATTTTAGACTTTTCAAGTTCCTTATCTTTTCATTTTATTCATTTTGATTCGTTACAATTCCCTTTTTTTGCTTCAGATAATTTTAGTTAGTTTTAATTCACCCTAAATTTGTTTTAATTTGTAGAACTAGCAAATGAACAAAAATTGACAGAAGTTAACTTTATAATAAACCGAAAAAAACTAAAGTTCAATAAAAACTGAAGTAAATTAGGACGAACGAAAGCAAACAGAGTGCCTTAATCGAATTGAAATTAGCTAAAAGAGACGAAAATGGATTGAAAAATGTGAAATAAACTTAAATAAACTAAAGTTAATTACACTTAACTAAAACGAACTAAACTGAACTAAAGCAAACTATAACGAATGAAAAGAAAGTAAAATAAATTAAAATAAACTAAAACGAACTTTAATGAACTAAAACAACACGGAGAAAAATATAAAGTAACTTTTACTACTTTTATAGTAAAAAATTTCTGGTAATTTTTACTACTTTTGGAGTAAATTTTGCTATGTTCGAAGTACATATTTCTAAAAATTAGTAAAATTTACTTCGAACGTAACAAAATTTACTCCAAAAGTAGTAAAAATTACCAGAAATTTTTTACTATAAAAGTAGTAAAAGTTACTTTATATTTTTCTCCGTGAATCTATATACAACGAACTAAAAGAAACTGAAATAATACCAGAACAATTGTTGAAATAAGTTGAAAACTAAAATAAATGTAAAAAAGTGAATGAAACACTGAAATATTAAAGTTTAAAATTAAAAATTGAAGAACATACCGGAAAAATGTGTTGGCTCGTATATCCAAGGTCAGAAAAATGGTAATAAGAATCACAACTGTATTTGGGGGGAAGAAAGTTTCTTCCAAGATCACAGAAAGATAAAATTTGTGTATACCTCTGCTTGAGACGAAAGTTCGAAATAGACTGTCGGTTTAAACAGTTTACAGTGAGTAAAGGGACACACACACACACACACACACACACACACACACAGGAAAAAGGAGGCCCGTCGAAAAGAAGAAGAAGAAGAAGTAGTAGAAGGGCCATTTCTGCCTGCTCTCTTGAAAAGCCTCTTCTAAACATTCAAAAGGTTGCACACCCATATTCAGTGGAATGATGCTTTACCCATGTCTATGTGAGAAATATAAACATACACACACAAACTTAGGGAAAAAGGCGAGGGCAGGTTCAGATGAGCTGACAGATCAACTCAGCTAACTTGAAATTTCTCTCTCACTCACTCTAGAAATAAAAGGCAGGTGTTGGAATGCATTGATTATTCCTCTTATCCCCCCCCCCTTTTCTAATCGCTTTAGACACTTAAAGTCCTTTATTAACACCCCTGGAAACTCATCAACTAATTTTTCTTCCTTATTTTTCGGTTTGTAATTTTTTTCCCTTCCCGTGTAGGAAATCGTTAAGGTATACCTTTACTGAATTTGAAATAACAGTTTTCTACTAATTAGAGGGTGCGGATTCTTCTACCAAGTGAATAGTACAAATTTTACTAATTTTATAGTAGAAAATAACTAATTTAATAGTTGAAAAATACTAACTAAGTAGTAGTTGTATTCTTCTAAAACTTAGTAAAAAAAACTACTAATTCACTCTCTAAATGTCTGAATTAATTAAAAATAATTAGATACTACCTATAACTAATTATTAGTTGAAAATAATTAATACATTTGCCTCAAGTAAAAACAAATTATTTAAAATTGTGGAAATATTTGTCTAGCAAAGGATGATTTTTAGCTACATGAAAATTCTCTGTCCATAATAAATTCTCTCAAATAAACATTCTATCTAATAATGTACCCCATATTTTAGGCACACCAAGTGTCAATTTCCTCAAGGGTTCTTTATTTTCCTAAGAAAAATGAGAAAATTCCTTCTTCTAAATTATTTTACAAAGACTCTTTATAATCCTTTTATCTCGTGTCATTGTGTGAAAAAATCTCGATTATATAGGATACAATATATCTTGGACGAGTGACGATCAAAATCCCCACGGGCAAAGTTTAATCGAATCGCCTTTGCCGTCGAGACGTCACCATCCTTCCGTTCCTTCTTCTTCTTCTTCTTCTTCTACTATGGGGAGCAATTTCTCGAAAACTTTTCGCTACCAAGAGATAAGAATTCGGGGAAGTAAATGATGATCGTGAAATGTTACCGAAAAAAAGAAGAAAAAAAAGTGATAAGAATAAATTTTCTGATAAAGAGGGAAAAAAAAGAGAAATACTTAATAAGATAAACGATATGGAATTAATTAAAAGATATTCGGCTTATTTAATTAAATTTAAATTGATTTAAGATAAGATAAGTTTAATTTTCCACTTAACTAAATATTTATCTGTCCTAATTCCTGTTTGGCTAAATTTTAATGAGTCTTTATTCTGGTATAGCTGTCCTAATTCCTGTTTGGCTTAATTTTTCTGGGTCCTGATTATTTGACTTAATTTTTATTTTTCCTCATTCCTGTTTGTCCAAATTTTTATTTATTCTTCTTAGTTTAGCTTAATTCCCCTAAAATGTCCTAATTCTTATTTGGCTTCATTTCGATTTGTTCTACTTCCAAAATGGTGAAATTATTATTGTTCAATTTAATAATCATTTGACTCCTCACTTTTTACCTCTCTTAATGCAAGGTCAAGTAAATCATAGATCAATTAAACCCAAGGTCAAATAAACCCCTGGGCAAATAAATTCTTGGTCAATTGAATCCTGCATCAATTAAATTCAAGGTCAAATAAAACATAGGTCAAAAAATGCTAGGTCACTGAACCCTAAGTCAAATAAGTCTTATGTCAATTAAATTCAAGATAAAATAAATCGAAAGTCGAATAAAACCTACATAAACTTTAGGTCCAGTATATCCTTGGTCAATTAAATACAAGATAAAATACATCCTAGGGCAAATAAACCGAACGTCATTTAAATTCAAGGTAAAATAAATCACAGGTCAAGTAAATTCTAGATCAATTAAATCGAAGGTAAAGTAAAACCTAAGTCAAATATACTTTAGGTTCAATAAATCCTAGGTAAATTAAATCTAAAGTAAAATAAATCCTAGGTCAAATAAACCGAAGTCCAATTAAATTTGAGGTCTAATAACCCCAAGGTCAATTTAATTTAAGGTCAAATAAAACCCAAGTTCAGTTGAATTTTAGGTCTAAAAACCCCAAGGTCAAATAAATCCTAGGTCAATTAAATTAAAGGCCAATTAAAATGACCAAGGATTTATTTGACCTTGGGGTTTTTAGACCTAAAATTACATTAAGTCAATTACATCCCAAGTCACTTAAATTCAAGGTCAAGTAGATCCTAGCTCAAATAAATCCTGGGTTTAGTAAATTCTAGGACAATTGCATCCAAGATAAAATAAATCCTTGGTGAAATAAACTTTAGGTCAAATAAGAATCCCAGCAAATACAAAAGTAATCCTGTACAGCATTTGAGAAAATAAAATTTAGATAAATTCTCTAGAAAAGAAAACGGTAAAAAATAAAAGAAAACTTAATGATCATTGCGTATTTATGATTTTGTGTTGAAATACTGATTAGGGAAGGAAAAGGGGGCATTTCCCTTTTTTACTTGCGTGAGTAAAGAGAAAAAAAGAAGGAAAAAATACGAGTAAATAGAATATTTGAAAAAGAATTTCTCAGGTGTATAATTAAAATGAAGTTAAATAAGTTAAAGTCAGAGTGAATGTTTTGAAATGAGCACCCATTTGCGGAGGCATATAACAACCGAGTTTATAACGGAACTTGAGGTAAAGAAAAAGGAGAATAAGAATAAGAAGAAGATGAAGAGGCGAGGTAAACTTGTATATATAATTCCCTATCGGAAGTACACAGTAAGCCTGACTCACCTTATGCTGTGCTAGCCTAAGGGATTCTTCAAAGTGTTTGTGAACAGCTTGCTCCGCTGCTCTTTGTTTCTCCAGCCTTTCACGTTCCATTTTCGCTTCTCTTTCTCGTTCTCTTTCCCTCTTCTCCAATTCTCGCACTTCCGCTTCGCGACGCTCACTGGAATTCAAGAAAAATCATCATTAGAAATTATCCACCTGCTATGAAAGTAGGATTAAATTACTTCATCCAGATTATTATCGTGTCATACTCATAATAAATGTTTACTTTTATTTATTTATATATTATTGTTCTTTTATTAAAAATTAATATAAATTATTTTTTATTAAAATATATTTATTGGTATATTATTTGTGTAATTATAAATACTATTAATTATTATTAAAAATATTATTTACAATTGTAGTTCATTTTCAAAAATTGTTGTAAATTAATCAGCAGAATTTATAATCAGTGAATATCAACATTTTCTCCAGTTAAATAAAAATTATCTAACTATGAATTTAAATAATTATTTTGAAATTATTGCGAATAATTTATAACCATAATTTAACCAAAGTATTTTTTCTTTTCACTTCACCTTCAGGTTGAATATATTTATAAACTCATTTCTAAGTGTAAATTGTAAACTAGAGCAAAACTCTAGTTTGAGAGATTAAAACCTTAGACACGTGCAATGAAAAGAAAAGAAAAAACAGAAGTAAATAAATAAATTGAATACTTTCGAGAAATCTATTTTATCTGCTCGCTTTTTCATCGCGAGCGAAAGGAAGTCAGAGAATCACAAATTTCCTAGAAAGTTTCTTGCTTCGAAAGTTATGTCGAGTTTTAACCTTCGCGCGCTGATATTCAACCGACTAGAGACGTTATAAAGTCAGGGTAAACTTTTCTGTTGTTTCTAGAGAAAAAGAGATAATTCAACCTCTACATTATATAAAAAAAATTTTTTTTGCAAATGAAATGGCTCGTGTCATCCTCTCTCTCTTTCTCTCTTTCTCTCTCTCTCTGACTAGTAAGTGAGAGAGAGGTGCAAATTTCATGTGAAATCCCTTTTTTGCGACCACTACCACTTTTATTTCTTATTCTGTTATGCACAAGGTGTCAAAAAGTAAACTAAAAATGAAGAGAGAAGAAAATAACTCCAACTTTTTCTCTTCTTCAAAGAAGTTTGAACCGTGTCTCTTCCTCATAATATAATATTATACACTTTCTTTGGAATTTTCTTCGCTAAAAACTTTCTGTCACAAACTTTTTAACGACGGCAGATTTTAATTTCATACACATTCCGTCCTTTTTTAAATCTTACAAGCGAAACTTTTACAGATATTTCATTATACATTATTAAAGAGATTTATTAAATTTAAAGTGGAAAATTTTCCAACATTTCAATTTAAATATAAACTTTAAACAAAGTTTCTTCAATTCAAACAATTCCATTCAGTTATACTAACTAAAAAGAAGTTAGAATTTATTAAATATTCATAACATAGAAATAAAAAAAATAATTTAAAAAAAAACTTAAATTATTATTCTTATTCAAAAAATGCAATGATTAGGTATTTATTTATTATATTATATTATAAAACATGAAGATATCGAGCACTCCGAGTCTTCGAGTGATCAATATCTTCATGTTTTATAATAATTTAAATTTACATAGAATTTAAAAAGAAATTAAATTATTTACAAAAATTTTAATAAAATTTTTCGCAAGAATTCAAATATTTTTTACAAGTAATACAATTTTTCACATCAATTCAATTAAATTATTTTCATAAATAATAACATTTTTTAAAAGATTTCAATTATTTTTAATAAAATCTTAAAAGAATTCCTCGAAAAATATAATTATTTTCAAAAATTTTTTGCAAGAATTCAATTACATTTTACAAATAATGAATTCAATCATTTTTAAAAAAAATGTAATAATATTCGTTGCAAATTATTTTCATAAATAATAATATTCTTCACAGGATTTCAATTATTTAAAAAACAATTTAATAAAAATTGGTTGCAAGACTTCAATTATTTTCCAAAGTAATAAAGTTCTTCACAGGATTTCAATTATTTTTAATACAATTTTTAGTAAATTCTTCAAAAAATGTAATTAATTTCAAACATTTTATTAAAATTCTTCAAAAGAAATAAATGAACAATTACACCAAAATTTGCAATTTTCTTATGAATTCTAAAAATTTAATTTTTTCCATTATACTTTTAATAAAAATCCCTGATTTTTCCCTGATTTCCCTGACCTGTGGCAACCCTAATAACGAATAATAAATTTTTGTAAATTCAGAGCCACTTTTTCTCGCTAATGTATAATTTCTTTTTCATTTTTCGAAGAATTTCTTTTTTTCACCAATGTTTTCCTTTCAAAACGAGGGAAAAACATTTTGAGCCACTCAAAAAGTGCACAAGAGAGTTCCTACTGTATTTTATTTCTTTTGAAAATAAATTTCACGACGAGATGAATGGCGCAAGTTTCGTGCTGGCTCGTTAATTAAATTCTATATATGATGAAGTCGGGGAGTGTAAAACTTGAATTAAAAAAGAAAAAAAGGCATTGCCTCTCCCTAATGGCATTTCTTTTCCGGACCACTACACGCAGATATACAAGCAGTGTGTGTGTGTGTGTGTCTGTGTAAATTGCAATAACTTGGACAAATGCATGCGACGAGTTTGTGCACATATCGTGACTTTTTAACGACTCTCACATACATAGACGGAGAGAGATAAGCATTCATTAACGCTTGCGCAAGTTATTTATACTGTTATATGAGCGCAACGCGCGTGCGTTTATCTCTATTTTCCTCGCCTCCTCTCTCGCGGTCGGCGGACCCTAACGTATATAAGCGTGCGTAGATTGAGCTCCTTTGTATTTTATATTATTCATGTACATATAATTATAATTATATGCGCACTTCATCATTTTACGTGCCTCTCTCTTTTTTCGACGACGAGATCTGGAGAGAGAAAAAGAGAGAGATGCAAAATGATATACTCGAGTCAGCAAGTCATCCAGGAAAATTAGTCTTTCATTATACAAATTTATCTCTCCTTCTTATTATGTATTTTTAATTTTGTCATTTACGCGAGAAAAAGGAGAATTGCAACAAGTATTTCCGAAAAATTCAGAGCTTTTCATTTTTTTTAAATGTGGACAAAAAATTTTATTTTTTACATTATATATATATTTATGTTACATCGTTGTGTCATTGTTCTTATAATCAATATCGCTTTATTTATCTCTGTAAATAAATTTTCATTCACTAAATTAACTGTAATTATTTTTTTAATACAGATGGTAATTTAAAAATTGAAATTTAAAATCAAATTGTAATTTAGTGGCAAATTAAAATTGTAATTGTATTCAATGAAAATGTAGTAGTAAAATTAAACTCTAATTGTTAAATATTACAAATTTGTAAAATTGAATTGTAATTATAAAATTAAATTATATTTGTAAAAACATAAATTAAATTTAAAAGAAATTCTAGGGGCACGAATTTTCTTTATTAATAATTTGTGTTACGCATTAGCAGCAATAATTAATTAGACTCTATTAATTAATTTTAAGATTAGATAGAAAATTTACACGGTTTACTTCCACCACACACGTTGAAATTGTTCTTTTTATTAGTTTCTATAGTAATATATCTCGAATATTCCCAATAAAAATAGTTTCTTAATTAAAAATTTCAAATATAAAATTTAATCGCAAAAACAAAATAATTCTAATTAATGGTAATTTATTTTTAACTCAAAAGTATTAATCGCTGCTGTAAATGTTATTCAACAAATAATAGTTTGTGTTTATATTTCAAGTAAATTAGTTTTAGAACTAGTTTTTAGAATTTTTAGAACTTCTTAAATTTAAATTTACAAAATTGAACTTTTCGTTTAAACTTTAAATTAGCTTAAAATATATTAACAGTTGAAACTTAGTTTAAGCTCATTTTAATAATGAAGCGATTAATTTGGTTTTAATTTAAATAATAAACCTTTCAATAATAATTTCTGAATAATTTGGCAAACATTTAAGCTTCGGTTAATTAAGTTTTCAAGTAAATAATTTGTTTATTAGCTCTATTTTAATCAATAAGGCCTTTGAATTAATAATTTAGCAGTTAACTAAATTCTAGTTAATAAGCTTTCAATTTATTAACAAAGCAATTAATTTTGTATCAATTAAAGATTTTTTTTTACTGATTGAACACTTAGTGTTAAAATATTATTATAAAAATCAACTTATTTAACAGAAATTTTCTAAAAATTATTACTTAACTTATTAAAAATTTAGTCATAATTTTTACAAATTAATTTTTTTATTTTCTTAAAAATTAATCAAAAATTAAAATTAACATATTTTTGAAAAATTTTATAGAAATAATTGAAAACTAAAGTAAAAATTAACTTATTTAATTAAATAGTATAATAAAAATTTAATATTAATTTATTCTTAGTCCTCGCTTTATGTTTTTGAACATACTTACGGTTTTCTCATTTTTAATTAATAAAAATCAAAGAAAAACAATTTAAAATTTAATAAAAACAAAATGGAAATATCGAATAATTGTAATTTCAATAGGAAATTATTAAGCAATTAGGCTAAACAGAAAGAATTTAAGATTTTTTATATTTAAATTCGAGAGGAATTATGAAATTAAAGATAATTTCAAATAATTATATATACCTTTAACAGTAGCCTAAATAGCAATTTATAGAGAAAAATGTGATTATACTGTCATATTTTTAAATCGATTAAACCTAAAAAAGATTCTAAAATATTAAATTACCTTTTTAGCTCTATAATTATTAATTAGCATGAAATAATTATCGAACCTTCAAATAATAAGTTTGTTTCCAAATAAGATTTTCAATTTAAAAGTTTTTATCGATTTTATTTATAAAATGACATTCTATCATCAAGAAAAATAAAATACAGCAGTAGAAAATAATTTCGAAACAAACTCTAATGATTTGAAATCATTCACAGGAAAAAAACCAAAAAGGAAGTAATTTAAATTATTTTTATCATTAAATAAAAAAAAAGTCATATTCATTAATATTAACACACCTTGTATTAAAAATCAACGATTGGAATGAAGTTTATATAGAACATTAATTATAATTTAACTGTTTTCATGAATTCATTA